TTTCGCAGGTGTGTGTGTGTGTGTGTGTGTGTGTGTGTGTGTGTGTGTGTGTGTGTGATTTCTCTCCATGGTATATAAGTTACCTGCTTGTTAGTCATTAAGTGATGTCTCAGTTTTCAGACTGACCACAATGCCCTCACAATCCATGCGTGTGAACCACCCCTCTGTCCAACATACCCAAACTGTATGTGTCCTAACTGTCTAACATTGAGCAGTTTCAGTTTTCAGAGTAACTGACATGCCATCCCACTCCATGAGAATGTCCCTCTTTCCTACATGCCCACTCTGCAGAAGACCTTGCCCCTGGCCATTCAGTGACATTGCACTTGCCTGAAGGAGCCTGTGGTGCCACACAGCTTGTGCTCAGGCGACCCTTATTTTAAACATCATAATGGCCACGAACCTAAGGAATAGTGATGCCGGAAATTCAGATACACAAAAGAGAAGCCATAAGCGCTCCTTTTAAAAGGACAGGTGAAAACCACGGGAAAGAAAAGATGTGTGGAGGTGGCTGAGATCGACAGGAAGAAAGCAGCACAAGATTCACAGGGCTTGGTTCTTCCCCAGCTTCCAGGCTTCCACTGTGGTCTTGGGGTACACCGGCACCCATAAGGAAGGGGTTGGGACTGACATTCCATTCTTTCAGCCAGCACAGCTCTCTCGGTGATGTCTAGTCTCACACACTAATCTATAGTTCTGTGTAGCTGGAAGAGCAGTGAAACTTCCCAGATCAGGATCAGCATTTGAAGATGAGCGTGGAAAATGGGGTCTTGATGGGCAGGTGACTCTATAATCTCCCCTGGCTGCCAATGAGTGGTGATAGCTACTGTGTTTATCAGTGTGACTATCAGTATGACGACTGTTAAACACTGCCAGCTTTTCTTCTGGAGGTCCTCTTTGCAAGTGGCTGAATGTTCTACTTCTTGTGCCCCGAGTGGGATCCACAGACCTGCAGTGTCTGCACCATACGTGAATGGGCCAGCCCTGGGGAGCCTACTTTTGAACAAGTTCCTTAGCCTAGCTCTCTAATTGCCTCTCACAGAATGTAGAGGATGGAGCTGTTTACTGTCTTCTGACCTCTCCACCTGCTGTGGTTGGAATCCTAGCACAGACTTGATCTGACTTCAACACGCAGGTGCACAGTGCGCCAGGATCTGCTATTCTTGCTTTTCTGCTGGGGAGTTGCAGGGATGTCAGTGGGGCACAGGTGTGATCGTTTGCTGATAGCCACCCTTTTGTGCCTTAACTCACCAGAAATTCTTTCCAACCTGCCTGAATCTAACTATGTTATGATGGTAGCTATAAAAATGTGATGAAAACAAAAAGCAATTATCAAGGAGCCACATGCCTTTTAGGCTTGCTGTTCCTTTTGGAGGGTGAGAAATCAGGCTAGTTGAAAGGGCACAAAAAGCATCTATCAGCACCTGCGAGCACTAGCCCTGTGCATCATTACTACAAATGATGGTCTGGCGACCACTCAGCCACTCTGGTCTCATCATCCACAGTGAGACGTATTTGGTCTAATTTACTGTTCATCTGATCCAGGGATTTTTTTTTTTCCAGAGTAGGCCTGAAGTTTGTTCTATAAGATAGGATAAAGGTAAGAAGAATAATGCTCCTTCATGTTCCTCTTTATATTTTATCTCATGGAAGGTCAGAACTGAGGTGTTGGGACGTAGTTCAATGTTAGCACTTGCTAGTGTAGAGCCCTGGATTCCCAGCATTGTAAGAAGCAAAGCAAAACAAAACACCAAAAGAGCAAGAAATAGGAATAGGTAAATCCCAGGAGACCACATCAAAAATCTCATTATTAAAATGACTTTTCCTCTCCGGCTGTAAGGGAGAAGGGTTACAAGCAACCCTTAGAAATTGGATATGATGGTTAATCCTCAGTTTCAACCTGACTGAGTTTGAACATCAAGGAGACACATCATTGGACATGTTTGTAAGAGCATTTCTGGAGAATTTTAACTGAGAAGACACACCCTGAATACAGATGACACTCAAAGCTCATAGTTAAAAAATATACCCCATGCTTCATGTTGATGTAAGACACCTCTCCGGTAGAGATCAGTGCTCTCAGTGACAGCGGGAACCATTGTCATGAAACACAATCACCCATAACCTCTGAGTCACTGGCTCAGGACCTTTCTGTGTTAAACCATCTTGGAGAGCCTCAGCAGAATCCCAGAGCTCCTGCCGGTGTGGGCGTACAAACCACACACCTGCCTTCTGAACCTTGTCCAGGATCTGAGTTAGCAAAGCTTTGGCTTTCTCCTCCCACATCCTCTGAAGCCCCACAAGCAGACATTCTCATTTTACTTTCCCCTGGAGTCAGCAGTCCTAAGCATTTAGTTGGAAATAAGCAAGCAAGCAAGCAAGCAAACAAACAAACAAACAAAAAACACAACCCGTAACACTGGATACCGATCAGAGAAAAGCAAGTCCCACCTATAAATGCGCACATGAGTAGAATACAGCCTTTATTGTTTACTAAATACTTATTTTTGGAGGTGCTGGGTGCGGAAGCCAGTCCTCACATGGCCCATGCTGGGCAAGTACACTTCTGCTGATCTGAGCCACACCCCCAGCCTGGACTTTGTTTTTAAAAAATGGTGTGTGCGCTGACAGAAGGTAGGGAG